CTTTCTGCATTGCTTTGCAAGGACTCAGACACCACACATGACCGGTGGTCTCTGGAGGGGCAGCCACGTTCTATCATTAAGTCTATTTAATGCATATTCATCTGTATTTCTTTTGTCTTATTCAGATATTAGTGTATCTGCACAGACTTTTCTTAACTAAAACACAGCTATGTTTTGGGGTATGGCTATAGAATAAAGTCGGGAAATGGACCCACCTCCTCTGTGCGTCTCTCAGCATTGTCTCCGTGCGTCTCTCAGCATTGTCTCTGTGGCCATCGCTGCCTGCTGTGTGTGTATACATGCATGTGTGGTGTAGACCCACCTCCTCTGTGCGTCTCTCAGCATTGTCTCCGTGCGTCTCTCAGCATTGTCTCTGTGGCCATCGCTGCCTGCTGTGTGTGTATATATGCATGTGTGGTGTAGAACCACCTCCTCTGTGCGTCTCTCAGCATTGTCTCCGTGCGTCTCTCATCATTGTCTCTGTGGCCATTGCTGCCTGCTGTGTGTGTATACATGCATGTGTGGTGTAGAACCACCTCCTCTGTGCGTCTCTCATCATTGTCTCTGTGCGTCTCTCAACATTGTCTCTGTGGCCATCGCTGCCTGCTGTGTGTGTATACATGCATGTGTGGTGTAGACCCACTTCCTCTGTGCGTCTCTCAGCATTGTCTCCGTGCATCTCTCAGCATTGTCTCTGTGGCCATCGCTGCCTGCTGTGTGTGTATACATGCATGTGTGGTGTAGACCCACCTCCTCTGTGCGTCTCTCAGCATTGTCTCCGTGCGTCTCTCAGCATGGTCTCTGTGGCCATCACTGCCTGCTGTGTGTGTATACATGCATGTGTGGTGTAGACCCACCTCCTCTGTGCATCTCTCAGCATTGTCTCTGTGCATCTCTCAGCATTGTCTCTGTGGCCGTCGCTGCCTGCTGTGTGTGTATACATGCATGTGTGGTGTAGACCCACCTCCTCTGTGCGTCTCTCAGCATTGTCTCTGTGGCCATCGCTGCCTGCTGTGTGTGTATACATGCATGTGTGGTGTAAACCACAGTGATGGGTATTACATAGTTTTAGTATTTACAGTAGATTCATATTTCGACTTCCTAATTTGTTCCATTTATCTGTCTAATCTTAGCCAGTGTCATGGTTTGTGGTATGCCTGGGACCAGTATGCTCCTCATTAAGTCACAGATGTACTCCTTGTCTTTCAAAATATTTTCTTGGCTATTCATACACACTTATTCTCCCAGGTAACCTTTAAAACTATCACACCAGATTCTTGGAAATGTGCATTGGAATTAGAATTGAATTAAACATATAAACGCTCTGAAGGTGCTCTTCTATTCCCAGGGTAACGTCTGCCCCATCCCTGTGCTCTCCTCCTTCCTCTTGCTGCTGGAAGCTGCCACCTGCCGAATTGTTGATGCCCACACTTCCTGAACCCTGTACGGCTGCCTGTGGCACAGAGACTGCATGTGAAACAATGAGGATACCTCCAAAGGTGAGGAAGACAATTGCCAGATGATCTGTTGAAAGTCCAGACCACTTATTCTGACTTCCTATTTCCCTTCCCACAGAGAGGCTGGCGAGTGGGGTGAGCCAGCCTCCATCCCATGGGAGAGAACCACATGGAGATGGAGCCACACGTCCACCACAGCCTAAGCGTTGGGGCCCTGAGTGACCTCATGGAGCCGAGCTTCACCCAGCACAGGAGCACTCAACTCAGCCTCCTCACCGAGGCAGAAGGCGCTGTCTGCTCAAGCTGCTTCACACTCAGACCTTTTCATGACAGCAGCTTCATCTCCCCACAACAAAGTGGCTCTCCAAAAACGTGTTTTAAATATTCTTCTAAGTCCATTACACATTCTCATTACATTGAATTTATTCTTAAACTTTTTCTTTCATTTCAGTTGCTGTTATAAATAAATTAATTTATTTCATGCCAATTGGTACTTTCTGTTACACAGGAAACATCAATTTTGAGAATATATTTAATAATTGGCTTCCTTGTTAATTTTTTTATTAGCTACTTGTGTGTGTGTGTGTGTGTGAATGTTTACAAGCATGTAACGTGCAAATAGTGGTAATTTTTTGTCCTTTTCCTTGAGGGAACGATCTCAAGACTGTCATGATACCTGACCTTTTCTTTCTTTATACTTTTCCTTTGGAATCCATCTCTTTATATAAATCCAGATGCCTCCTTACAGACACATATTAGACCTCTCTTTAGACTATACATTTTGTAATTTTTACACCAAGGTGTTTTCCTACCATCAAATTATTAAATTGACCCACAATTTCTCTAGTGCCTTCTTCTCTGGGGGAGCCATCATCCTGTGCACACACCCCCACCTCCTTCAGTCATTCCAGCACCTGGTCCTTCTTCCAAGTCTAGCCACCTCTCCAGACCATGGTGGCCTCTCTTCATCTGGACATCTCACGCTCGTTGCCTATGCTCCTTTTTAAAAAGAGTGTTGGTATTTCTGTTCAAATAATTTGACCCACTTTTTTCTGGCTAAAGTATAAGCCCTTGAAAAGGGCTGGATGCTTAGATGCTATATCCCCTGGCACTACACGTTGCAGGCTCTCAATGTAAAATTAAGTTTAATTCAACAACTACTAAGAGCCTGTCACAGGCCAAGCCCCGGGGGAGAGGCATTCCTCATTGTCGAAGGAGGCAGGCGGGTGCTGGCGGCTGAACAACGCTTTTAACAGTGTCCAGAAGTTTCTCTTGCAGAGTAGCGAGGCCTGACCTTGATCAAGTCTACTTTTTTTCTCCTAAACAGCACACAGGTATCGTCTAAACACTGACAGGCTGGGAGATGGGGTGAGCCAGCCTCCACCTCCTGGGAGAAAACCACGCCTCACATGACAGTGGAGCCACATGTCCACCACAGCTCAAGCATTGGGGCCCTGAGTAACCACATGGGAGCACTCAACTCATTGGCCTAACCAGGGGGAGATAGTGCCACCTGCCCGTCTCCGCCCCTGAAGTGCTGAATGTAGACTTTATTTCCAGTTATACACTATCCTGATATCGAACCAGCTCCTCCACCTTCCTGCGCCCCCTCCTCTCTGTGAAACCTCCCGACCTTCCGCAACCCCACAGCATCCCTCCCTCCTTATACTTCCAGAGATGGCTTGAGAATACATGAGGCATTAGCAACCTGTTCTGAGGAAGACACCATATAAATATGACGCAGAGTCCCACCTGCCCTAAACTGCTGAAAGTGTTGCTGATTCTGTGCTACGTAGATGACCACGTGCTTTCCTTACGGAGCCTCCTTTCTGCTAACAGGGGGAGTCCCCACCTGGCCAAGCCTCTCCAAAGGAGTGTGAACAAAAGCAGTGGAAAGTGCCTGGGCTTATAAATGGCTGTATTACTCTTAGCATGCGCCCTGTCGGGAGCCCTGTGAACTTGTTGATGTGACTCCATTCAGCGAGGTGACATCCATGGGGGCTGCGGTCCCGGAGTGAGGGCAGGGCTGATGCTCCTGGTAGCTTCAGCCTGCCCATCCCCTGCAGTGTTGGTGAATGGGTTTGAATGATAATCTTTTTAATGATGAACTGAAAGTGAAGAAAGGTCCTGAAAGAAAAAAATAAAAACAATGATAAGCAAAGGAAACCCTGCTCTGTTACATAAGAAAACAGCCTCAGCCCCGCCCCGGCTGCATTCTGAAACTGCTGTTCCGGCAGCATGCTCCCATGATGTTTCTGCCTCCCCCGAAGGAGCAGCTCCTAGCCTCATTAGCGATCCCACATGAAAACCATTCCTTCCAAAATCGATGGATGAAGAGCAGTATGTTTTTCTTCTGGAGCCCTGACACAGGATGCCAGCCTTACACCATCAGAAGTCCTGTTTATGAAGACCCCCTATCCAAAGCTGGTGTTCTCTGTCCTGGGATGTTTTGCCATCAGCCCTGATGAGGCAATGCCAGGGCATTCGCAGGCATCTCACCAGGAGGGGCAAGGGCATGGGCCACACAGTGGCTGTGATGCGGGTTCCGGTGAATACTTGTGTGCCCCGATGTTGACACACTGCCCAGGAGACCCCAGGGCTGGTTAAGAGGTCCCCACACTCCGCTCTGTCCCTGTTGTCCAGGCTGGAGTGGAAACTTACATCGCCAGGCCCCAGGTCTGGTTATCAGGTATTGGCCAAGGGTGAAAGTGTGTGACTCCTCCTGAAAGCAGAGTCTGTCCACCGCTGTTGGAGGTGACATCTTCAGGGTTCAGGTCTCAGTCTCTATTTTGGCTTTGTGTCTCAAGCATACTGGTGATGGCAGAGCCTGTGGGCTGCGGATTCTCAGAGGTTCAGCAGCAAGATACCTGCACCACCTGCCTCAGGTCCTACTGGCAGCCTGAGAGCTGTTCCCAGCAGATACAGCACCTCCGAGTGACATGACCTGCATTGCATCAGTTCGGTCCTGGCTTTGGGGGAAAACGTCCCCTCTCATCATCTGGAAGCAAATTCCAAGGGCCTCTCAAATGAAGCATTGAAGAACAGGTAACTATAAATAGCAGATAACAGAATAATATAAATCACAGAACAGATAAAACTTCATTCTCTCAAAATCGGAGAGAGCTGCCAGTTGTCCCTGTTGTGATCCAGTCCATTTGAAGGCATGGCTCTCCACAGCGCACGGTCCACAGAGGACTATCCCCGGGGGGCCCCACAGCAGGTGGCCCTGGACTTAGTGCAGGCTCCCAAGGCAATCCCCTGTCCACACACACTCTGCACACACACACTGAACACACAGCCCTGCACACATGCCCTGCACACACACAAAAACCTGTACAAACCTGCATACACATACCCTGTATACACACACCCTGCACACAGCCCTGTATGCACACCGTGCACACACAGCTTTGTACACACATACCCTGCACACACACCTTGCACACACAGCCTTATAAACACATATACCTGTGTACACACATGCTCTGTGCACACACTCTGCACACATACAACCCTGTACACACCTTGCACCCATAGCCCTGCACACACACACATTGCACACACAGCTTCATATGCACATAGCCATGTACACACATGCTGTATACACACACCCTGCACACATGCACACACAGACCTGTATACCTTGCACACATAGCCTTGTGCACACATACTCTGCACACACACACACACCTTGCATACACAGCCTTATATGCACACATAGCCCTGCACAGACAACCCTGTACATACACCCTGCACAGAGATGGCCTTGCATACACATCCCTCACACACACACCTTGCATACACACCCCTTGCACACACATACCTTGTGTGCACACACACACTCAGCACACACACACTTTGCATAGACACAGCCCTACAGGTATACACCTTGCACACACAGCTCTACACACACAGTTTCTCCTGCCAGCTCTCTGTGGCTTTCTGCGGAGACTTTTTTTGCACATATTTGGGCTTCTGACTAAGAGTCTGTGAGCCCATCCTACTTACTTTCCGGAGGCGATCACGTAGCACCTGGCTTTGGCCACTGTAGAGTCTTGGAGTCAACCGTGACTGTGGGGCCCACGTGCCATAGTGATGGCATGGCCCACATTTATAAGCTCCCTTTCAGTGGGAACTCATGGCCTTCCATTGTCATTCAGGGTTACAAGTTTAAATAGTGGGTCTTTGACATAAGCCAGAAGGCCAAACTGAGACGCCCAGGGCTGAATGGATTAAAAAAAATCTCATATTTTCTTCTAATAAATTACCAGGAAACAGCTTTCAGATTTTTAAGGTAGAAAACGTATATGGAGCTACCAAAAAGTCAAGAATTCTGAGTATGTATTCCAACATAGAGCCGTCAGCACTGGCTTAATTCCTCACATTTTATAATTCCACTAAGTGCAGTTAGCGGCAACTATGATTTTTGTTCAAGGCTGTCAGTCTGTCTCCCGGGTTGGAGTGTAGGGGGCAATCATAGCCCACTAGCGCCTCCACCTCCCGGGCATCAGAGATCCTCCTGCCTCAGCCTCTTGTATAGCAGGGACTGTAGGCATACCACCACAGTGGGCTTATTTTATTTTTTGTAGAGACAAGGCTCATTCTGTTACCCAGGCTTGTCCTGAACTGGGCTCAAGGGATCCCCTCGCCTGGGCCTCCTGAGTGTCTGGGATGCAGGTGTGAGCCCCTGCGTCCGGCTGGACTGAGTTGTGATGTACGTCTCCCTGACAGATTCCTTCACAGGCCCTGGACGCCAGATGCCAGGGCAGCAGCAAGCAGGCGGTGAAGGGCCTCTCCCTTCTGCCTGGGACTGGAATAAAAATAACCATGGCTAGTTTTAGACTCACTTGAAAATAGACCAAGCTCCCCCAAACCCTCCAGCATCTTCCTTCTATCTAAATGTCCATGATTCTAAACACTGTTGCCTTCTCTTTCTCCCGAGGGAATCTGATGGGACCTCTGTGTTCCTGGGTCCTCCTGTTCAGCAACCTCCTCCCTGGCTCTTGCTTTCAAACCTCAGCTCTGGGTGGTGGCAAATGAATCTGCTCCAGAAACCAGGTGGAAGGACAATTGTGCAAGGAGGCTCCCCCAAATTACACAAAGTTCAAGGTCAACGACATGTCTTTCAGATTTATAAGTAAAGTTGACCGTGTTTGAAAGCAACTCGTCCAGAAATGTCTAGATGGCCTTCCCCAGCTGCCAGCAGTTCATTGAAAGTCAATGCCTTTGCCCGTGAAAGGAAAACTTGGAGTCATTTTCCTACAGATCCGAAGTCTGGCCCACAGCCCTTGGGGCGTGGAAATCTTTAGAGTGACTTTTACTTTCACACCCTCTGCTGTTCCCTTCCTGCAGGTCCGCATCCCGCAGCGAGGCCCATGTGTGAAAAGCAGGGCTGCATGTCACTTGCTGTCCAGGGAATCGGCCTATTAATGTGTCAGACAAAAGTCTCTGCTCAAACTCGGCTAGTGAGACTGGTCCAGGCCAACCCCGCCAAGCACCATAAATAAATGACAGGTTCAGGGAGCAGAAAACCAGCACTTCATTACAGTCGCTCCCTCCACCGACCAAGCTGGCCGCCAAGCTGGGGCCGCCTCAGGTTTCCTCTGGCAGGAAGTGGACAGGCCAGTGCCGGCCGGACTCTGGAAGCGGGGCTGCGGCCTGGGGGGCATGCCTCTGTCAGAGGATGTCTGTCTTCGCAGCTGGCATTTCTTGTTAAGGCATGATTTCATTTTTTCAAGAGAGTTCTCTGGCTTCCAGAGTGGAGGTTTCTATGCTGCAGGGATGGCCACAGCAGGGGAATAAACATCCAGTTCTGGGGCTCAAGGACACTCCACAGATACACCCATGAAAGCAGCATGCAGGGACTGAGCGGGACACAGGCAGCATGCGGGGCATGAGGGTCGAGGGAGGGAGGCAGGTCTCACAGGTGTGGCCCGGAGCGAGCCAGAAGTTGGTAGCCTAGGAAGACTTCTGGAATCACACTGGTGATCCCTGCCGGCTCTTTTCCAAAGAGCAGGATGCAGAGGCCAGGCAGCCCTTTCAGGCAAAAGTGAGTTCTTGTTTAGGAAGAGACTTGGGTTTGCAAGGAACACCTAGAGGCAGCTCTGCACACATCAGGCTGTCAACAGGACTGTGAGTCGTTCTTTGAACACAACATTTTTACCTTTGCGGATTTTCCTTATTTATAATGGCAAAAATGAGGCTAGTGGCCACCAAGCGCCTGTTTATGAGCTACTGCTGCTCTGTGTTCGTTTTCTGGAGTTGCTGTAACAAATCACCACCAATCAAGTTCGGCTTAACACAACAAAATGTTTTTTTCCCAGTTCTGAAGTCAGGAATTGAAGGTGAAGGTACGAGCAAAGCCCTGGCCCTCTGGAAGCTTCATGAGGAGGACTTTCTGGCTCTTCCGCTCCTGGTGGCTGCGGATGCTCCTTGCCTGTGACTGCGTTGCTCCCATCTCTGCCTCCATCTGCGGGGGGCCTTCCCCCGTGTCTGTGTCTGGGATCTCTCCTTCAGTGAGCAGAAGGCTGCAGAAGCCATCAGCATCCCTTCCACGTGAGGCCTGCCCCCCCTGGACCTGCTGGCCCGTGTTGAACTCCCTCCCATGTAAAGTCCAGCTGCACTTTGCCCTTCCAAGTTATCCTGGGAGCACTCGGGATACAGTGACCTGAACCCCTGCCTGCGGGTAAGCTAAGGTCAACTTCCTTCACTTAACCCCATCTGCCAAAACCCCTTTCTCATATATGGTCACAGTCACAGGGTCTTGTGGGGCATAGGTTTTACTAGGGAGTGGGAGGGACGCCGTTCAGCACGCTACCCCAAGCAATACATAAGGTCAACACATGCAAGGCCTATGCTGCCATACCTGAGAGGACAAGTTTACCATGGTTCCATCATTGAGGAAGCCCTTCAATGCTCCCTGCAGAGGACGGTGTCCTCCATGGGGCAGGGAGAAGGGTGGAAGGTGGAGGCAGGGACCTGGCACATTGAGGATGCTGAAAAACTGTCCGCTGAGGTTCTGCCCTATTTTCAATTATTTCTAAATTACAAGACAAAATTACTCTACTCAGCATATGAATTTCTGACCCTAAGCTGAAGATAAATCAAGAATGGCCAGAATTCGCAGAGAAAGCGTAGCTGGAGTGAGCTTGGAGGGACAGGATGCTCCTCCGGATGGAGAGTGTGCCCACAGCCGGCTGGAGCGATTCGAGGCTGTTATCCCTAAACCATGTACTCAGCCCATATCTTGCTTTGAGTGTGTGTTAGGGCTGGAATCCGGCCAGAGGCTCCCACCAGGTGTTCCTCATCCTCCCAGCTCTTCCTGCAGAATCTTCCACAGATATTTTAATGATGACAATCCAGGGATCTCTGTAGAAACCCGGGGACCCTTTGCAGGGGTGAATGACGTGCTATGTGGCCCAGGGGCCCTCACTCAGCTGCACGGGCCACAGGGCAGGTAGCAGGTCGCAGATGCGCTGTGTTCCATGCCTGCTCCTAGCTACCCAAACACGTGGATTCTGGACCCCTGGGGACAGACACAGGGCACATCCCAGATCTCCTTTCAAAAGCAATTCAGAGTCTCTTGGGAGAGAGAAAGAGAAGGCAGGGGATGAAAGGAGGACTCAGAAACTCCTGGGAGCCAAAGAAAACCTTAGGTTTAGAGAAACTTGGAGCAATTAGTGCTTGGAGTTGGCAGCAAAATGGTGCCAGGTAATTAATTAACACCTAGAGTCTAAACAGGATCTTTCCACAGGGGCCTGAAAAGCCCCCGAGAAAGAGCGAAGTGGGGGGGGAAAGGGAGAATGAGATGAGGGAAGGGCAGGAAATGAGGGGCCGTTGGTGAGCGAGGTCGTTAATGGGCCTTAATTTTTCCCCAGTTTACCATAATCTCAGTCGCGCACTTCCCGTGTGACAAAGAGGGTGGCAGGTCCGGCTGTGCAGGTCTTGCTGCTTAGAGGCGGGTCCATATCTGTCAATCATGGGAGACACAGGCCAGTGGAGAGGCAGGAGCTCAGGGCGCCAGAAAAAGAGGATGCACAACTGAGAATCCAGCTTGAAAATGCATCCATCGGATCCATTCTGTCAGCACTGAGAGCGAAGGCTGGGGAGTCATCTTAAAAGTCACCACGCCGTTGATGTCCGCCAAATATTCTCTGTCAAAGAGTTCTGGCTACATACAATTTGGGTACTATATTTCCCTTTGCTAAGTATCTGAGGCACGTCTTCAGGTTGGAAGACAGTGGAAACCATCCACGTTTGCTTTGCCCTTTCTTATTTTATGTGAGTATTTCACTATTAACAAGAGAACTTTCCTGAGTAAAGGCATTTTTTGGAACTCAATGGAGAGTCTGTGTCAAGCCACAAGAGAGCCGAAGAATATTCTAGATGGACAACCCGCACCCCTTCATAGGGCTCCTCTGTCTACCGGGGCTGGTGTGTCCACAGTGTCTATCTCAGAGTGGCTGTGTCTCTAGACGGTTTTTATGGCTCCCACTCACGACTGAACAAGATGTATTGTGGCCATTTCACAAAGTTGAACTTACCTCTAAGCAGTTGAAAGCTGCTAAGGCCTCTTCTGTAAACCCAAACCTGGGAAAATGTTCATCACTACAGCAGTTAGAGGCAATAAAACGCCTAAAACAGTGTGGTTAATAGGTGGGCTGAGCACCTCATTCACTGCCAAGTTCTAATCCCACTTCCAATGAAGACTTCAGGTTAATGTGTGCAGTGTACATGTGGGCTGTGACTGAGAAATGATCCCATCATATTCCATTATGTAGGGTTCCTTCCATCCTCTTAGCTCTATTTCTCACTGTTCTTATAGCCAATGGTAAGAACAGACTGTCTGAGTGATGTGAAGTTTTGTAGAAAAAATAAAACAAAATTAGTAACGCAATTGTTTCAGGGTTAGGGCTATAAAATGCAGCGCTTACTAATTCAAGTGTGTTTGAATTACTAATTCAAGAAAACACATCACAAAATCCACTTCAGACACAATTTCCTGTTCCCTTTAAGAAGTGACTATTAGCCAAAAATGTCTTCTGAGTAATACTGCTTCTGGCTGAAGCTTGGATTTTAAGTAGAATGTACTTTAAAAGCAAAAGAAGCTTGTCACTAGCCCATAGCGGCAGATGTCTTTGGCAGGTGCATTCTCTAAGCAACCGAGGAAGAGCTGGGAAACCTGGCTCCCCTAACGCGGCTGTATCTCTGCAGCTCCATGCTCCTTTCTGAGAAGCGGCTGCATCCCTGCGACTCTTCTTGATAAGTACAGGGTCCTTCCACACCTTTTCCTCCTTCCCTGTACTCAGCAACAATTATTCAGAAAAGACGTGTTCTGAAGCAATCTGCTCATGTCGCTCGGAGTCCCCCAAATACATACTCTAAGAGTGAAGAGGGGTCTGCCTGGAGTTCCGTGTAGAGATGAACCAAGGCAGTGTCACCTGTGGGGGATAATTTTATGTCATCCTGACAGGGCCTCAATATCCAGATTCTTGGTCAGGCACAGTATCTGGGGACATTTCTGGACGAGATCCACATCTGAATCCCTGGACCGAGGGAAGCTGTCTCCCTCACTGGTGTGGGTGGACATCATTCAATCACCGAAGACCTGAATGGAATAAAAAGCTGAACAAGGAAGAATTTTCTTCTCACTTCCTCACAGTCTCCCAGCCAGGCCACGGGTCTCCTGCCTTGACTCCGGTGTCCATGGGCGCTTCCTCCAGCAGCTCCCCAGCCCTCCTCCAGCTGCTCAGCTTCAGGCTGCAGGGCTTGCCAGGCTCCACATCACAGAAGCCAGTTCTTACCGCAAATCTCTTGACAGATGACGGATGTAGATAATAGAGCCACCGCCAGAGATACCTGGGTAGATGGGGCATCTGTGGAGCTGGGTTGCCCTTGAGAACACCCACGAAGCCACTCCCCAAGATGGTTTTCCCATGCAGCACAGGGTCCCAGGTGGGAGCACACAGGCATTGGCCGAAGTCCTCATGCCACGTGGGAGGCCCCTTTAGACTTTCTTCTCAACACTGAGGAAGGGACCATGCTTGCCCATCTTCAGAGTGGTGACATCAACTGTGTCTAGAGATTCACTGGAGGGAGAGACTTGGAAAGAGCTTCCCAGCACCGATCAGTCCCGGCAGATCTGGAAATCATTCCCACCGCAGCACACCAGGTACAGCGCATATGAAACGCATCCCTATTAACGAAAAGAACCTTTAAGCATAATGTGTCAGTTCAGTAGGATTCATGATCTCAGAGAAGCTAGTGTCCCATTATCAGTTTTTAATCTTATCCACATCATCCTGTTTAGGAAAAAAAATCCTCATGAGTACTTTTCCCTGAGTCATTCTACTTCCTTCAAATAGCAAAACATTTGGAATCTCAAGAAACATCCTTTCTGCTTGGCATTGCTCACCTCTTCCAGTCTGAGAAGGGAACCATCATATAACTTCAGTGAATTTGATAAACTACAAATTTAGCGGCTTTTTATTTTTGAGGAGTGACTAGCGGCGCTCCCTGTCCTCGGCGGCACCTGCTCTCCCTCACTTCCCCCATTATGCAGACTTCAAGGAGCAGAGCTGCCCTGTCAGAGAAGCCCTGGTAGGAAGGAGCTCCTGAGCGGCTCAGGCGCTGGCAGCGTCTTTAGTCCCTAGACAGGCACATTAGTCTGGGTGTTAGCCGCGTCTCCTTAATTGGATTGCCTGCATAAATTGCAATAGAGGGTGGACAAGTGATAGGAATAAATATGTTTTTCCCCTTAAAAAGAACCAAAATATGTAAACAACCTGTCATGTAGGAAAGAGTGCATGTGCATCTTATTGAAAGGGGAGAAATAATTTGGAGAGATGAGAAAGGAGCACAGGGTAAAAGCTGATATTCTTCTTTTCTAACGGATAGCCCCAAGTTGTAGAGGCCATTATTTCTTGCATTTTCAGAGCAAATGAACTTGACAGATGGCTGTGTCACCCAAACCCCCACCTACCAACTTGATTATGCAGAAAACAATACAATAGAAAAGAAATCATTACTGAAGGAACCTGGTTAGTCCACAGAGGGCCGGGGAATGCAGAAGAACAAAATTACAGTGGTGGAATTGAACAGCGAGAATGCATTTAACACAAAGTGGGTTACAGCAGGGCAATCAGTCATGGCTAAAGCTATTGTCTGGGCTTGCTTGCATGGTATATGAAGTAATCTGTCATCTCCCACCAATTTATGCTTAGTTTGTAGGAGAAAACTACAAAGGTTTTGCCAGGACATGTGCTGGTAGCCTTGGGTAGCTCAAGTGTGGACTCACAGAGATGACATGTTGGACACTGCAGGACTCTGGCTGGCTTCTGTGTGTCGGGGTGGTTCTCTCATCATCAACCTGCTGGCATCGGATGCTCACATGATGTGCTGGTGTGTTTGGGGAAGTTAAGGACACAGATTCATTCGACTTCAACAATGGCCAGCCCTGCACGGTGACGGTGTGGACACAGAAAGCACCAGCTGAGAAGACAGAAGGCCACAGTTAGAGTAGCACTTTTGAAGACTCAGGAAAGAGTGTTGACACTCAGCCTTCCTACTTGTGGTGGTGTGTACGTGTTAGGACAGGTCAACACCAACTATAGACACCTTGTCATTTATGCAACAGGCAGCCTGAGATAAACAGGAAAACTATGTTTTCAGCTACGTAGGCAGTCAGGAGCCACATCTAAGAAGGTGCTTCCAAACCGGAAATGTCAGCTCCTCTTGAGAAGTCAGGTCCTCTGCTCCTGTGCTAAAAAGTGATGGGGCCTTGCCCCCTTGATTCCTGTTGTGCACCATTCCTCCCACCGGAAAACATTTTCCCCACCCATTGCTGATCCTGGGCATGGCCAGCTTGGCAGGCCCAGCTCACAGGTAACTCCAGGGAACACCTGCTCACAGGTAACTCTGGGGGCACCTGCTCACAGGTAACTCTGGGGGCACCTGCTCACAGGTAACTCCAGGGGGCACCTTCTCACAGGTAACTCCAGGGGGCACCTTCTCACAGGTAACTCCGGGGGGCACCTTCTCACAGGTAACTCCAGGGAACACCTGCTCACAGGTAACTCCAGGGGGCACCTGCTCACAGGTAACTCCAGGGGGCACCTGCTCACAGGTAACTCCAGGGGGCACCTGCTCACAGGTAACTCCAGGGGGCACCTCCTCACAGGTAACTCCAGGGAACACCTGCTCACAGGTAACTCCAGGGGGCACCTCCTCACAGGTAACTCCAGGGAGCACCTGCTCACAGGTAACTCCAGGGGGCACCTGCTCACAGGTAACTCCAGGGGGCACCTGCTCACAGGTAACTCCAGGGGGCACCTGCTCACAGGTAACTCCAGGGGGCACCTGCTCACAGGTAACTCCAGGGGGCACCTGCTCACAGGTAACTCCAGGGGGCACCTGCTCACAGGTAACTCCAGGGGGCACCTTCTCACAGGTAACCCCAGGGGGCACCTTCTCACAGGTAACTCTGGGGGCACCTTCTCACAGGTAACTCCAGGGGGCACCTGCTCACAGGTAACTCCAGGGGGCACCAGCTCACAGGTAACTCTGGGGGCACCAGCTCACAAGTGACTCTGGGGGCACCTGCCCTTTGCATGGCCTATACCCCCATTATCCCAGGACTCCTGGCACTGGCCATTTAGGATTGATCTTAGCTCTCATGTTAGACTCCATACTCTCGAGGCAAGTGGCTGCATCACATCCATCCATCCCAGGTTTCATCTGTCCACATATTACAATCTCTCTCTGTATACAGACGTGATACACAAAATGGGTCCCTAGATATTCAATATGAATCCTGTACTGTCTGGGACAATATCTTATTCACCCACAGAGCAGGGATATGAATACACAGGTACTTAATAATTTAATGTATTTAATAATCTAATTTAATGTACTATCAAATATAATCATACAGGTTAAGTATCCTTTATCCAAAATGCTGGGAACCAGAAGTGTTTCAGATTTCTAACGTTTTTTTCAGATTTTGGAACAGTCACGTATAAATAATAAAATCTCTTGGGGATGAAACCGAAGTATAAAGACGAGATTAATTTATGTTTTATATATACTCTACACATATAACCTGTAGGTAATTTTATACATTACTTTTAATAATTTTGTGAAACCTACCCCATAAGGTCAGGGTGAAATTCGCCACTTCAGTTTGGAATTTTGAAGCATTTCAGATTTCTGATTTGGGGATTTCGGATGCTCAACCTGCATAATATTAATATAATTAGATAACATGCTATATACATTATTGAATATGTTAATACCAATGCAGTAATCATCTGTTGAGATTAATTAAATATAAATTTGTTAAAAGTTGACCCAGGGATTATACACAGCTTTCTAAAAATTAAAAGGATCTTCCAAGCTTTCACTGTATCTCCTGATTGATGCCTACTGTTTTCCAAAATATTTGTAATCGATGACTTACATCTTTATTTTACATTTGCTTGATGAAAGGTAAGTAGTTAGCAGAGCAGCAATAGTCTATTTGTACCTTGTATTACCTCAAACTAAAGAACAAACACGGAAATGTGTATTAGATTATTCTCATTTCAGAAAGTCCTAGTTCAAAAGTCCAGTGTTGAAGCGTGCTAAGAAATGTACTTTGCCGGGTTCAAAGCCAAGGGGCGGAGGCTCGGTCGCATTTACCTACAGTTGCTCATGAAGTCTCCCAGGATATCACCTTTGCTGCTGATCATGAAGCTTGCAACCCCTGGAGAAGGATGTGTGTGGTTTGTTTGGAATGGAAGCACTGCCCGTTCTGTGGCAGAGCACAGCAGCTGTGTCTCTAAAATAGAAACAGTTACTCAGACAAGGAAGCTTTGGAGAATCAGCCTTCAGAGCAGCCAGACATGGCTTCCTAATGCCCGTGGCAGCAGGAGTTCAGAGCCTCACCTCTGACACTCTGATGAGATCATGGCTTTAGATGTCATCCGAGAACTCAGCCCTGTGCTGGGCAGGGGCTATTTGGGGACATGCTGATTTCCAAGGGGATGGTGGGTACAGTGAGAGGCAAAATAACTGCACTACTGATATGGGACAATGGGGACCGACATCGGCCAGCTTCACTGGTACCCCAATATCAGCCTTGAAGCATTACCTAATACACCGCCAATTAAATTGGTCCTCAGTATTATTCAGGGCAGGGCGATCGCTGATAGCCACAGTGAGAAATATCTGGACAGCAAAATATAATTTATCTCAGGAGAATACAGGTTGATTCATGAAATAAAATCTGCTTTCAAGTCCAAAATATTTGTGGGCTTCTCTTGAAAGGTAATAAATGGAAAAGAAAGAACAGTGCATCTTAGAGTTAAGGGGTGTCTTACAGTGTCTGTAGCTAGGATCCCCAACTACAGCCACAAATCTGGTCTCAAAGAGGAGCTTCCTTCCTCCCTGAACCTCACTGTTGTTTCTAGGAGCCTGCTCTCCACGATCCTCTTAGGGTAGCAGAATTATGGCCTCCAAAACATGTCCACATCCCAACCCCAGAACCTGTGAGCATGTAGATTACAGAAAGGGAGCTGAGACTCTTGCTGGCAGGCAGGTCACTGAGGAGCTGGCCTCCAGGTGGCAGATCCTCCCATATGATTGTCCTGCATGACCTGGGCAGACCTAGTGCAGTCACCAGGCTATTATAGGAAAGACAGGGACTGAAGAGAGAGCTGGGGAGAGAGTAGAAGATGCCACACTGCTGACTGTGAAGATGGAACATGGAGCCACAAGCCCAGGAATGTTTGTGGTCTCCCGGAGCTGGAAGGGCAGGGAAACAGGTTTTCCTCCAGCCCTTCCAGAAGGGAGGCAGCTCAGCCAATGACTTGGCTTTAGCCCAGTGAGTCCCTTTTCAGACTTCGGATGCCAGAGCTGCAAGGTCACAAGTCTGCGTTGTTTAAGCCACTAACTCTGTGGTGTCTTGTTACAGTTGAAATAAGAAACCGATACACCTGCACCCACAATCCTCTGGCCCCAGCTCTTTGGGATCCGCATTTCCCCACCAGTGATGTGATGTGGTCTTAAGTTCACGCCTGGCTCTTTGGGGAGCAGATTTGCTTTCTCACTGAGACCCTTTGAAAGAACGATCTTAGGAGAAGAAGTAATTTTGAAAGAAAGGAATTTTCATGGGAATTTGGTAGCTCTGTTGGGACAGGAGTCCCTCTCTGAAATTCACCTATAAGGCCCTAAATTGGCTGGTGCATTTCTACACGGGCATCCCCACAGGGCCAAGATGCCAGGGAGCTGGGCTGTGCATGGTGGTGTCTCAGACAGCCCCTGATGGAGCCTGTTGATTTCCAGAGGTGCCCCAGGTGCTGCAGAAGCAACAGACGGCTGGGGAGCAGCCTCTGTGTTGAAGAACCCGAAAAATGAGAAGCCCAGGGGTGGCAGGTGCAGCATGAAAAGGCAGCATGCAGCATGTCTGGAGAAGCTGCCAGGAGGAGACAACGGGTTTCTAGACCAGAAAGCCTCTGGGGGTTAGGAGCCCACATTCAAATATGGGAGGGCTTCTGATAGGCAGCAGGTCCTTCTCCTGGGCCTGAGGAACAGGAACAGTATATGCCATGGAGGTGGCCTGTGGCCCGAGCCACACCCCGGCGGGGCGTTCCTGTCTCACCCCACTGTGCACCGCACACTGCACACCGCACACCGCAGGCCACGCGCCGTGCACCGCACAGCACACACCGCACACCGCACATTGCACACTGCACACCACACACCGCACACCGCACACCGCACACTGCACACTACCAGGATCCTTCTTGCTTTCCTTTGCACCCCCTCAGAGCTCACCGTGATTCCTTCTGTTCTTACAATACACAGGGGAAGTGGTCCTGTCATTGCCTGCTGTGTGCAGCATAGAGCCTGTCTCTGAGACCAGACGGCCCCACATCCAGCAGCCTAGCCCCCTGAGAATACAAACCAGGCACCACAGAGAAGTACAGTCCTCCCCAAGAACCCACTTGGCCAGGACCTTGATCTTGGATGCCTCAGCCTCCAGAACTGTGGAACATGACGTCTGTTATTTAAACTACTCTGTTCGTGGTATTTTGTGACAGCAGCCGGCACTTGCCATCCGATTTCGGCCCCATCCTCCCCCAGGGTCATCTAATCTCAAGATAATTAATTTAATCAGATTTGCAAAGACCCATGTCTGAATTAAAGCGATACATGCAGGTTCTGGGAGGGACACAGTCTGTGAGGGACAGATTCTGGGAGGGACAGGGTCCAGGGTGGGAACAGGGTTCGGGAAAGACACGTCTTTTTGGAGAGACAGCATTCATCCCAGCACACTTGTGAAGAGGTTTCTTAGCATTTGGGTAACGTGACGCATTGATCAACAGGGCATCTTACGTTGTATTGCAAGTACTTCTGAGTCGTCTTCAGACGGAAGAGGTTTACTGATCCCTGTAACTGAGTCATGTGCTGAGTTATTTATTACTGGACACACTTCTCATTGGAGTGCCTGGCTTCTACAATCCTGGATCCAGAGAATTTGCATCTCCCACGCCGTTTGTGATTTCATGGTCACCAATCCTGCTTTTACTTGCTGCTGTTCTCAAATGTGCTGAGATTAAGGTCCCAGAGGGTCGGTCCAGGGGTTCCCATCTCTCCTGCTTCACTCTGAATATCTTTAGGAAAAACTCTTATCTCCCAAGCAAATGACACAGTCCCTTTAAGTGGAGCCCGGATAAAGGGACTGTCTGCAGATTTTCACTCTCTGCCTCTCTCTCCCCATCCAGCATATCTCTGGATAGAAGGTTACTGATTTGAGTGAGCTTCTAGCTATAGGCTTTCATCAAAGACTAGTGCTCTTGGTGATCTAGAAACCTCGCTGCAGTTGCTGGGAAGCCAGGACTCTCGATCCTTCGGTTCCAGTGGTCCAGGACACTCCCGTCAGGCCAGGCCATCTCTGTGCTTGGCTGGGGCTGAAGTCCAGATTCCGTCACTCACATCTTCAGCTCCGTTCCACTTGGCTCAGAATCTCTAATGAACTCCCAAAGCATCTCATTCAGACCAACATACCAAAAGCACTGAGAAGTACTGCTGAAATCAGTCGTCAATTCTGAAATGTAACATGTCTGCTTTCCTGCAAGAAACTCCTGTAGGGGAAGGAGCTTCCTGAGATTCCCGGAACGGAGCTCTCCGAAGTGACCTGGGACATTTAGAATCAGCACTTCAATTATTTTGCACTTCACATTTTTCCAGACAAAAGGCATATTCTAGGAAATGCACTTTATCCTTCCAATGTGGTATTTATTTTTAAGTGCAAGTAAGGGTCAATACACCCTGAATGAAAGGTGGGCACCTGCACGTGGGCCCTCACTGGAAGCAGACACTTTCTGCACCCTCCTTTTTAGGGGTGGCCACTGGGAGAAGCAGACAGGTGTGAGGCCCACGTGGGGTGTGTGCAGGGACGAGCTGAAGTTCATGCTGTCCCCCTCTTTCTCCAATCAGATCCATTTCCTTGAGGACAGAGATGGCACCTTCACTTCATTTAAACTTATTTTTGAGTTTTCATTAAATGTATTTTTGAGTTCCTAGTATTTAATGGGGCTCGGTGCATTAAATGGGGCTCGGTGCAGCCATGGTTATGGAAGGAATGAGTTCATTCTACACGACTCATGAGGAGTGGTGTCTGACGAGACTCTGAGAGTCGAAAAGGTCATTACGAGTCAACACCTTCAGACTTAGCACGAGAAAGAAAACAGGCTGGGCATAGTGTAATCCCAGCACTTTGGAGGCCGAGGTGGGCAGATCACCTGAGGTCAGGAGTTAGATACCAGCCTGGCCAACACGGCAAAACCTCATCTCTACTGAAAATACAAAAATTAGCCAGCTGTGGTGGCACACGCCTGTACTCCCAGCTACTCGGGAGGCTGAGGCAAGACAATCGCTTGAATTCGGGAGGAGGAGGTTGCAGTGAGCTGAGATTGCCCCACTACACTCCAACCTGGACAACAGAGCAAGACTCTGTCTAAACAGAAAAAAAAGGAAGAAAAATGAAGACAAACGTAGTTAGACAGACAGACAGACAGACAGACAGACTCCTGAGGGCAGACAGTTCAGCCATTCAGGGTAGCCTGGGGCCACAGGCCTGGAGAGACCTGCTCAGAGGTAGCTTTTCTATTCAGCAGGGAGGCCCCACTGAGACCCACACTGAGCTCCTAGGCCGGGAGGTGATCTCAGGGACCCTGGTGGGAGTCTGGAGTGAAAGTCTGCAGAAGCAGATGCATGAAGCTCAGGGGAAGGCTTCCTCCTGTCTCCAATCAGCACCCTCTTCTCAGGACTTGGAGTCCAGGGCTGGGAAACTGCCCCCAGGCAGGGAAAACAGACCTGTCTGACCATCCCACCTGAAGGACAGGCCCAGAGGAGGAAGGTGGTCTCCCTAGAGGGAGCCAGGAAAGGGACATGGATGCCCCCAACCCCGTCATCACATGCGTGAACCTAGAACAGTGAGCACCTGTGGGGCCGGGAGTTGCTTCCCCAAAGGTATCCCAACCTGAGCTGCAGTGATGAGGGAGAATCGTCCCTCATATTCAGCTGAATGTGAACTTCTCCTGGGGTCTGCCTCAGGATCTACGCCCACCACCTTGACATTTGAAGGATAATCTGTAGCCCACCCCTGAAGGTGAAAATACCACCATGGCCTCCCAGATTTCTCTTTCCAGGGGAGACCCCCTCATATCCCTTGACCACCTTGCCATGTGGGCTCTAAGCGGTCACACCATCCTGTTCCATCAGTAAGCATCCATCAGTGTCCT